TTATATTATTATATATTGTTATATATTGTTATATTTTATAATATTAAATATTTTTCAATAAATTTATTTTTAATAAAATAAATGACAAATTAAATATATTTATAATAATTATTTCAGAAAGGTTGTTTGTCTGATGCTTTACCACAAAGTCCAATAATGATAACAGATACAAAAAAATTGGGTGATCCTTTAACATTTAGAAGTGTGTCTTGTAATGATATTGTATCAGTTAATAAAAATCCTAACATTCCAAATGGTTTTGATAAAAATTGCAACAATCACGTAATATCTTCAACGACATCCATATCAAGTATTCCTATGGTATATAACAAGCCAGGTATAATACTTGCTAGGTCTTCAGAATTACTTTCAAGAAATGTTAAACTTGAAGGGAATAAGGAATCTTTTAAACCATGGAGCTCTTTATGCGCTATGTCATTTTCCAATACTACAATATCAGTAGAAGTCCATCCATTTTCTGGTTCATTAACTAGTCAATTACAATGCAGCTGCTGTAAATGGAAGGTTAACTTTTTATTTTAATTATATCTTTATTTTTTTATATTATATTATTTTATTCTGTAATTGTAATTATAAAAGACAAATAAGATTATTTTTTATAGTCTGCAGTTCATTATGACAAACTAGAAACAATTTCTTTACCTTTACCACCTTTGGGTACATATATAAAATCATATCATACAGTGGAAGAATTATTAACACGTTTTGTAACTAGTGAGATTGTTCAAGATGTATTATGCGATGGATGTGGAATGCGTTGTTTAGCTACTAAAACTCTAACTCTAGGAAAACTTCCTAAATGTTTATGTTTACATATATCAAGAACGACATGGAGCTCTTCAGGAATACCAATTAAAAGAGATGATCCAGTAAAATTTCCCGAAATATTAATTTTAGATCCTTATACTTTTACAGAAACTAAAAAGCGAAATGCACAGGTATAATATGCATATTAATTTATATATTGTAATTTTATTTATTTTATTTATTAGAAATTTAATATGAAATATGAATTAACAGGGTGATCCCGAAGCAACAATGTTACTTAGTCGAACAACTATACAAGATAAACATAAATATCAATTACGTGCAATCGTAGAACATCGTGGACCTGTTGATTCTGGACATTTTGTTTGCTATCGACGAGGAAATAAAATCAATCAATGGCTATATACTTCAGATAATGTAGTTGAGAGCATATCCTTAATTGAGGTTTTATGTGCCACACCATATCTTCTCTTTTACGAGCGTATTAATAGCATATAAGAATAGTTAGTAATCAATTTTAGTAATTGCAGTAAATTTAGAAATATCTGATGACTAAATATATTGAAATAATGTAATTATGATGAATGGAATTTAAGAGACTGAATGTGTTTTAATATTAATTTTCACGTTTTCATCGTAAAGCATTTGAAATTATTTCAAGCTATTTAAATGAACTAAGAATATTTAAATTTCTGTACATTATGTATTAGATTTGATTAGAATCACTATATTAGATTTTTCCTAAGATGTTGATATGTATCATTGTTATATAAATGATACATAACAAACAAAAGTAAAATGTTTTTAGCTTAAAAAATATGACGTTATAGTTTTTGAATTTAATTAAATAATGCAAAATTTTTAATTGTATATTTTAAATGTTATATCTTAGTAATTTGTGTAGAATAAAATATTTGGTATTTAAGTGTAACAAAGTAGGATATCGTATTTCATACATATAAGCTGAGTCGCCAAAGACTAGAAACTAAAATACCTTAGTTGTTTGTAGTAAAAATGTACAAAAAATGTATAAAAAAAAAAAAAATTTAGTTCAAAGATAAATATTATAACACAGATTTTATTTTTAAAATCATATATTTCAAGATTTTAAATCCAAATTTTTTTAAATAAAATGGTATATTTTGATTAATATAATTGCAAATTTAAAAAAAATAAATTCAAAGATGAATGTTTTATGAAGTGAAGAATGAAGTCAATAGCAATATCAGTATTAAATATTGTAGAGATAATCGTTTTGTTTATAAACATTACAAATTTTTTCTACTGATTTTCATCATTCATTCATTGATAGCGATATCAATTTTATTTTTAACTTGTAAATTAATATGATTCAATGAAATGAACTGCACTACTTGAATTTTCAGAAATTTCATTTTTTTTTCAAATAAAGAACATACATTTGAATTTACATTTGAAAGATTTAATAATAATATAACTAATTTTATTAGTATATTTATAAATATAAGGTTTTATAGGTTTTATATAAATATAAGGTTAATAAAATTTTGCTTCAGAAAAAATCATTCAAAGATCAACATGTTATTCATAAATTTCTTTTTTAATTGACTACTAATTAATATTACATTAAAAATATACCATACTATTTATTAAAAAAATTTTGAATAATTTTAAAATTTTAGAAAATATGACTTCAAAAATAAAATATTTGTTGCAATATTTATTTGTAACTTTTTTCCTTTTATTTTTTAAATTCTTGCAAGCAAAGAAAATATTTTAGATTCTAGTTTTAGGTAATTCATTTTAGAATAATATATTTATATTTTATAGATAATTGCATTAAATTGCTTGATAAATTATATAAATTATAATAATAAAATTAAAATCAAATTGTGCCAAATCAATTTTTATATGTGAAGTAAATTATTACTTTATACATTCAAAATGGATTTAAAAGTTAATTTTAGATATGTATTGTAAATGAAATACTTTTGAGCAATTAAAAAATAATAAGTTAAGATCTTTAATAATGTTATTATGATATAATTTCTATGAATAATAATTTGTATATTTTTTATATCATTTTTTCTATAATTTCTATCTTATATACATATAATATATATTACATATAAATTATTTTATTCATATTTTAATCTTTTTTAAAATAAAAATACAATTATATCTTTACAAAAATGTAAAATAATTGCAATTGTGAGATAATAAGATATATATAAGATTATATATAATATAATAATTTTATTTTTGAATCTAATAGTTCTTATAAAAAATTTTAAAATGCTAAATTGATATAAAATATACATAGAATAGAATAAATAGAATTATTTTACTTTAAAATATAATCATTTGTTATAATATTGAAAATAAAGTATATAATAATAAAAAGATTAGACTAAGAAAATTAAAAATATAACAATAACATTATATATAATAAATATAATATTATTGGATACATTTTTTTTTATTTGATTTTATGTATGAATTTTATTTGTATAGTTTTTCATTTTTAAGGATTTTCAATTGGATTTTGAATTTTTATCCAATCCTTTTGAAGAATAGAAATATAATGATATTACATTAATGCGAGACGCATTAGAAAGGATCGCATAAAACTTCAATTAATTTCTTTATTATTTAACCGATTATTATTTAACCGATCAGTCATCACTTAAATGAATAATATGTGAATAATACATATATATATATGTATATTTTATTTGTTATTCTATATGTATGTATTCAGTATCTCATAAAGCCACAGTTCAATTTCATGGCAATTCGCGCTTCCAGGATTGTCAGAAAATTGCCAACCTATATGTGACATCATCGAAATACTTACGTAATAGGGGAGAGGTAGAATAATTAAGACTGGATCGGTTGCTTGATATGAAAATGCGATACCATCTACTTGCCATTTCATAGTACTACATAGTACGTCAGTATCTTTGTGACGTCAATAGGCCAGTCATACGTCAATACGCATAGGTCAACAATTGGCATAGAGAATTTTTCGGTAACTCTGCTCGCGATTTGCGAGTCGTCGAATTCTTTCTTGATAAGTAATATTTGATATGTTTGAAAAACAGATGGTATATATATATATATGTATATATATATATTTTGGTGCATTTTTAAGTGACAAGTAAAATGTTAGTATTTTAAATTAATATCTATATAAATATTTTTTGTAATATCACTATATGATTTATAAAGTGTATGTACACCACACACACACACACACACACACACACATGCGTGTCAAATAAATTTGAGCAAGCATTATATAAATTTATAGGTTATAATAACACTTGTAAATTTTTGTAAATATCGAATGTCTTGAAATTTAGTGCGTCATATTCTATTTTCAATATAAATACAAAATGCCTCATTTTGTAAGCACCAAAGATGAAATTGTGAGTATAATTATTGTGAATATAATTAATTTTTTATTTCTTTTATAATTTTATAATATTACATTTTGATTTTTTGGTAGGTACAAAACATGGACGATATCAATTCTGATTTTGCTTCTCTTAAAGTATCTGTTTTGAAAAAAGCTTCTCGCATCTCAGGCGAAGTGGATAGAATTACAATTGGTCCTAATTCAATAACAAATGAAAATGAAAATAAAAAATCAGAAAATATAGAAAATGAACAAAATTCTTGTAATATAACGATTCCAAAAAAATCTATTCATTCACAAAATAATGGCATTACATTTTCAGTAAAAAAAATTCTTTTAGAAAGTGAATATCAGAGAAAAGAAGAAGTTCAGGTAATATATATTTATATGTATTTATTCTCAAAGAAAGATAATATTTATATAATATAATTTACACATATAAATAACAAAATATAATACTAATATATAATTATAATTTATTATCTCTAGTTGATAATTGCTGTAAATTAAATGGTAAAGATTTAGATGGAAATATTTCTATTATTTTTCAATTCAAAAAAATTTCTGCAATTTTATAATATTAAGGTTAAATTGTTTAAGATTATAAGAAATATGACATTTTAATTGTTTCAGAAAGAAATTGAGCGTCATTGGCAACATATGAAAGAAAATGGGAAAGTTATACAAGAACATATAGCAGTATCACGTTCACATATGGCTAGAGAACGTGAACGCAGAAGTAAGGAAAATTATGCATACATATTAGCAGAAGAAAGAATGGCAGAGCAAGAAGAAATACGAAGAAGACATGAACGACAAAAAGAAGTTGAAGAATATAGGAAAGAAATAAAAGAAAAAGAAGAATTGACCAAAAAAATAATGATTTTGAGAAATATGTATGTTAAAAAATATCATGATATTATAGAGCTTTCTGAAAATTTTAAAGATAAAAATTCTTTTACAATATCATCTTCTTATGCCGCAAAATTAGAAGAATTACATCTTCAAATGAAAGTTATAGATGAAAAAATTAAGGTAAGAAATAAACAAAAAGAATTTTCTTAGATGATATGCGTATATTAATATGTAATATATATTAAATATGTAAATATTATAAATAATATATATATATATATATTATTTGTAGATAGGTGATATAACATCTGCTGATTTGAATATTATAGTAAATCTAATTCATCAAATTGATGAAATGCATGGCATGTTTAAATCAGAGATAGGTAAGTTATTCTATACATTATGTTTCATTTTTTTTCCAGTCTATGTAAATATAAATTCTATATACGTATAATTTCTCATATTTTTTATTCTACTTTGTAGATAGAATAAATGTTCAATGTGAAAGAAATTTAATTGGAACAGAGAATACAGTACATTCTCGTACTCAATTACCAGTTTCAGAAAGTCAAGAACTTAAGAATAATCAAACAATTTCTGAAACAGTTATTTCAGAACGAATAAGTACTAATAATTCAGAAAATAATAATTTTCAAGAATATGGAGACGAAGAAAAGCAAAGAAATTTACAAACAGATAATATATCTTCGGATATTTCACAAATAACATCATCAACTGCTAATATAGAAGAAAATATATCAAAAACTGAATTAGATAAAGGTGAAATAATTTTTGATATAACTAATTTTTGTTTTTATTTTACATTCGTTTTTATTTTTAGATCACTTATATGAATATGTTGATAAAGATTTGTTAGAAACATACATGAGTAGTCAAAAATTTTTTGAAAATCATGTAAAAATGCTTGATGAATTTTTACTATCTGCAGCTACGAAAAAATTTAGATTTGATTGTCAAAAAGCAATAAATATACCCGTAAATGCAATATCAGGTATTAATCAACAACACCTGAAAGATAAATACGAAAGATTGTATAATTTGCTTATGGGAAAATCTTGTCCGGATGTTAATCAATATCCGCAAGGTGCAGCCTTTTGTAAAAATATTTTGGCTAAAAAGATAGTTGTATGTAATAATTTTATATTTAATTTATTACATTATAAAATGTTTAACACATGTGTAATGTATAATTTGTTTTAACAGAATCAAGGTGAAACACTTGTTTCGAGTAAACCAAAGATGGCATTTCCTATTGCTGCCATAATTGTAGCCCTTTGGAATGATCATTCCGATTTTGGTGATTTACTTTTATCTCATTTTCATAATGTTTGTCCGTTTACGGTTCCTATTTTTATGCCAAAAATGGTAGGACAATCGAATGAAGATTATTATAAATTAATGGGTTACAAATATGACGAAGATGGTACAATTGAGAAGCATGATAAATTTTTAAAAAGAATGTCTGGTTTAATGAGATTATATGCTTCTATTACTATCACGATTCAAAGAAAAGGAATTACTAAAACTAATCCACACGGACTTCAAAATGCATGGCGATGGTTGGCTGCTATTTTAAATATTGGTAATATGAATATTTAGGAAAATAATGGAATATACTGAATTTTTTGTAATTTGTTATACTTTTGTTTCAGAACCACGAAAAGAAGTATCAGATATATGTGCAACTCTTTTATTGGATATGCTTGAAGTTGCTGGAAATACATTATGGACTGCTTATCCAAAACAATTCCATAAACTCTTA